CCGCTTGGGCCCCCCATTCGGATGGGGTGCTGGTGACACATTCTTCTTCCGAGTCCCCACTGGAGTGTGCGACAATTCCCTATTTTGACTTGTACCATAAGTTCCCGTGTTTTATTCAGGTGAACAATTGACTTGCCTTTGTAAGTGTTTGTGATGGTTGCTATCAGTTGGACAGGATACGCTCACCTTTTTGGCGAACACCTGGTATCACGTCTGTTTCATAGTGATTGATAAACACATGCTCATGCTATAGTCGGAATCATACAAACAACTCTGCTTTTAGCAGAGATTTCGATTGAAAGGGTTTTGTCACTTTTATTTATAGATTGCTGAGTGTGGCGTTAAACAACAAACAAACAAACAAACATAAACTTTTGTTTATAAATGGGCATATATTATATTAAAGATTGTTTGTCCGACAAGGTTGTTAACTTGTTACTGAACACAGGATAGCCGGATACCTCTATATACATTGCAGGATATTCCAGTCTGGTTCGTTGGGAGATTTTACAGAGGCTTCTATAATTATACGAAGGTGGTCCTTCGCTTGCTCAAATGAAGTCTGGACTTGAAATTCAACTTCTGCCAAGCATTATGATAATATTTGTGATTGTTACATCATTGCTGGTGATGGATAACTATTTGAAAGAGAAAGACAATATGAGGTGTGATTTTTTTTTATCCCAAATACATTTTAATAAGGTGTGTTTTGTAAACATTTAGAACATTTATCTATCTGTAAAGCAAAAATGTCCATACCATCATATTTATTATTATTCATTTTCAAATAAAAAAAAGTGTATATGATTAACTTCAGTTAATCACAGTATATCAGCTTAATGTGGAGGAAAAAGAGTGTTGCATGGCTTAGTTCTCAGCTATTTTGGTGAAACCCATGAAATTTTGCGCTGACAATCCAAACATCATTATCAGGGTGAAACTGGGATTCCAGCCTACAACCATTGAATATAATTGAATCCAGGAACGCATATGGGACACAACTCTGCATAGCAAAAAACAGTGTCTTAGAGGACTGTCGACCATGCCATCATTCATAGTGGTTGTGGCATGGCAATACAATAGATCGTGTATGATGCTCAATTTGCAAGTAATTCCAGTCTCATATCTATGACCAAACAAATGAACTGTATTGATGTTGATGATAAACCAACACTGCAGAGTTTGGGTCAACCAGTCTGAACAGACATACCAAACTTCCTGACAATAAGTGTGTGAATATGGTTTTACGCTGATTTTAAATAAAAAAGCAATATTTCAGCAATATCACGGCGGGGGACACCAGAAATGGTCTTCACATATTGTACCAATGTCGGGAATCGAACCCAGGTCTTCAGCGTGACGAGCGAACGCTTTAACCACTAGGCTACCCGACCGCCCCTTCCTGACAAAAATACCAAGGGGATAAGAATTAGTCCCAGCAACCTACACTGGTCATAAAGATGAGATACAACCACTTCTTGTTTATTGCATATAGCGGGGGCAGTTGGCACCGCAATTGGCTGTGCAGAGTTGCGTTCCTTTGGCACGCAAGAAACCTATGATTGTGGGTTCGCCCCGTTTATGTTTCTAGGTTTGTCAACACCATACCCGTGCTCGTGGGTTTCACCGAAGTGGTAAACGTCTGAGACCTGCATCACTTGGGCTTTCCTCCCATATTAAGCTGACACGCCGCGATGTAACTGGAATACCTTTAAAAGTGGTGTTAAACCAAACTCACTCACTCACTCATTCACTATTGCATATAGCAACGTTTCGATGTAGGTTCTTACACCATTATCAAGCTTGAGTGTCCAACTTCTAAAAATAAATATGAATCCTTATGAGGTTTGTATTTACGACAAAAGTGAATACAGTTTGAAAATTTGAAGCCGTTTTCGTTCGCCCATTTTTGGAATTTTGCTTAGACAGAGCTGTAGCTGTCTATTATTCATATTCTTACCTGGACAAGAAATGTTGAAATCGTCCACAAAAAGTGAACCATCAACGTTATTGTTTAATACTTTAGTGAGACTATTAATTGGGATGCTGAAAAGTGTGGCTGATAGTATGCTGCCTTGAGGGACGCCCTGATATTGATCGAAATGATCTGTAAAGTTCCCCCTTTTTGAAGGTGGTTCGTCAGACGGATTAACAGTTGTAAGTATCATTGACCAACCATTCGAATTCATTTACAATATTTGAATCTGTCACAAAAAGGTATAGTCCTGAGTATGTGCCAGTGGCAGGGTGCAAATATGTGTCATAACCATCATTGAAGATGCATAAATCATTGTTTGAGATAAAATCTTCAAGGACCTTTCCCTCATTATTTGTATCAGTACTTCTCTATAGGGGATTATGACCGTTTAAAACGCCCATGATGATACAGAACTTAGGGAGCTGATCGTACAAAGTCTGAAGATCTGATTGACAGAGAGTTGAGGAAGGTGGAAGACACAGTGAACACAGTGTAAGCACTATGTTGAAAGTAACACTGGCAGCAACAGATTGTAGAGTAGTTTTGAGTGGAACAGGATTATGTCCTGCTTCATCAGGATAGAAGAACCTCCTGTAGCCTTTATCACCAGGAAGGGAAAACGAGTTGTAAGAACTGTACTGATGGACATCAAATTTTTAGATATGTTTCTTTGAGACAAAAAGCTGAATTTTCATTAAAATTCGTCTTAAGACCTCTGCAATTCCATTGTATTATATTTTGTGGATTCATGGCGGTGCTTCCACAGGAGAAATGTCACGCGAGTAGATTGGGGATATACACCTCTACTCCAATGCTACAATAACCAGCTTTAATCGAATTAGGAATCTTTGAACGAGAGAAAGTGAAGGCGTTAGTCATTTGTTCAGTTTAACACATCGTTCTTCTTTACAGAAAACCGCTTCACAGCTGTGACTGATTGTTGGAAGATGTTCTTTGAAAATTTGTTCTTCGGTCATGTCGGACAGACAGACGAAGACAATGCCCTTACACAATGTGTGATGCTCAGAAACAGCAACCTTGATGTATAGACAAACTCTTTTATGTTGAATAGAGTAACATTTGAAACCTCTCCGCAGATACCAGCGAACCCTTTGGAAATTGCAAAAGGATTGAGATTCATTGGTTCTTTGTCACACGTTTCAATTACCAAAAAACGTGGCCAATAGATCGAATTGATGTATTCTCGTCAGACGAGGTATTTTTGGAAACTATATGTCTTCATTTTGAACCAGGGTGTTGAGAAGCCATGTCGAAAGGAAAGAGATTCAGCACCCCTTTCCCCCACCCACTATGGACTGTCTACAAAGACTTATACTGCAGTGGATTTCCAAGCTGCAAAGACCGAGGATAAAGAGATGGTATGTTTCAGCAAATTTGACGCAAAAAGTCATAACTATATACCAAACTAAAGGTCAGGCTGGTTCGGCCCATTACCATCAATTGGAGACTTACAGAATTCGGACGTCATCACCTGATTGTCCTTGAGCCACCGCCTTCTGGGCAAGGGCTGTAAGCAAGTTTTTTATAGATTGATACAGATATAAAAGACATTTTGAGTAGAAACCGGTTGTGCGAAAAAGTGTTTGCACAGGGCATGACATGACCAGCCGATTGATAGAATCAGGCCCATTCTCCCGTCCGTCTTGGCAAAGTTAGGGTCAAAGTGGTGTGTTGGACTAAGGAGCACTATTACCGGTTCCGTCGCCCTCAACCACCAGGGTCCCTTCCTCTGCCGACACAGGGTCGCAGCACACGGCAAACTTGCTATACAATTTGTTTGCCTTTTACGACCAGCAATAGGGACACATTCTTGTTTATCTTCCCCGGATCCCCACGGGTGAAAGTTAAATTGATATCCTTAATGTTACAGAGGGGATAACCAACAACGTGTGCAACAACCAGGGAGATAGTTTATATTGTCATTTTACAAACTTCAATATCTATATATATTAGATCTAGTACTATGCCCAAAGCGTGTACGTGAAATGGTGGAAGGTCACGTGACCTAAGAAACCTAATAGCAGCAGTGTTTGGACAAAATACTGTTTGAATCCTACACTAACTTAGAATATATTGCCTAACAGAAAGTATATACAGGTTAGGCAACGAATATCATCATATATATACATATATAGAGCCCTAAAACTAGTGTATTTACCATGATCGACCTTCTCTACCATGTCGTCTGACTAAACCGACATACCGTGAGGGTATCGCAAACATGAAATATGCAAATTATTCAATCTAACTATTTACCAGTGTTAATAAATTAACGACTAACGAAACAACTAGGTCTACCTTTTCCACTAAGAACCGTCAAAACATGGTTTGTATTTACATGTATGTGTTTATTGTTCAATACGTTACTGACATTGGATAAAAATATACATGAAAAGCGGAGCTGAAGGATCAAACTTAATAATGACTGTTCACGTACGAGACAAGTCTCTGGGCCTGGCTAGGAATTAGGTGAAGTGAGGTGAATGGGGTTCAAGATTATTGAGAAGGTCGTCAAAGCAATTCGAGAGGTTTTTAAGGCCTGTGCAAAATGAGCACCGACCAGTAAATGCCAGATAGTAAAAGCGAAATGGGTCCAATTTGCAAGCTACCTGATTGTCTTCATGTCAGTTTGAGCCTGTCAGGCCATGCAAACAAAACATTGGTAAGGAGCAGAAATATAAAACACAACGTCGAAACAAAGAGGTAACGGCAAACTGCACACCAGAGTCTGGTACTTGTAATTCAGCATCTAAACCAATAAATTGTGAATATAAGGACACATATATATATATATATATATATATAACTATATAAGGAGATGCATATGTAACATGACGCGGTAATCATGTGAATTCTTGGAGTAAAAAAAAATCTAGGTTTCAACTTAGAGCTGACAGGAACACCAACTATGTTGAATAGCCACGAGAAATACCGAAACACGAATTAGTTATTCACTAATGCACGTGTTTTTAGTTCAATGCATGATTCATAAATACTACTCTCACATAGTAGGCGCTTTCTCCGGGTTTTCGGCACAAGGTGGTAGCGTCCTTATTGGCAATGCTGCTATGGTTCCTGTTGCTCCGGTAACGACAGCGCCACCTTCCGTTTCTCCTGTGTAGAGGTTGCGCTGGTTTTGCCATTCCCGTTCCTTCTCCTGAAACACCTGGTACAAATGTTGGGTAAGATCTGCTGCAACTAATTCGCTGGAATTCCGGGAGATCATGGACAAGACAAACACACCATCGATTCCGAGAAAACTGCTGATGAATCGTGTTACAGCGGGTTCGTTAGGGCGAGCTCCTTTGGAAGCGTTGACGTGGGCAGCTATCCTGCCATCTCTTAGGAACGGTAGGAAGAGAAATCCTGCCCACAGGACAAGATTTAGGATTGTGATGATAGCCAGAAGGAAGACCCAGTACCACAGGAATATGAACATCTTCTCATAGATTTCGGTGATTTGCAGAGTACACTGAACTGAAAATATCTGGGTATTCTGCAGGAAGTGAATTTGAAAATGGCAATAAATATCTTTTACAAGTAAGGGTTTTATGATGGAGTCCACATCGAAATCAGCATAGGACCCAACCCTGATTGCTAGGTATTGTCTAAAGTAAGTCGTCAGGAACATAAACTGCGCTATGAGATTGATACATAAGAGGAGCTTCACAAATAGGTACAACAGAGCCAGAAAGAATCGATTTCTTCTAAGAAGACTTCCAAATACTCGGGCTGCATCACTGAAAATGGCCTGGCGATTCTCCGGACTGGTCAATTGTACACTCTTCAGGGACTCGACAGTTTCCTCCATATTAAGAGTGAGCAAGTGCTTGCAGCTGTTCCAGGTGATGTTTGGGACTTTGAAGGCGAGGGCTTGGAAGAAGAGTATGAGGGGTATCCAGAGGTGGAAGGAGGGAACAGAGGGGATTTCGTCATCATAATTATCAGATATTGAATTGTTATGATACATGTCCTTCAGAAAACACGATTTCTCTGTGTACGAGATCATAGAGCTTGTGAATTGAGCTGGGCACCAACAACTGATGGGTGTAGTGATGTAACGTAAGGCGAATGATCCGACAGAACACACGGCGAAAAGAAGGACTGTCCAGAAGCCGTTGATGGAGTAAACATGATCCTGATCTACTTCACGTCCAAACCATGATCCAAATACTGCCATTTTTGTCTGAAAACAAGTAAAAATGATTAAGTCGAATTTATCTTTATATTTTATGTGCAGATACTCAATATCCTTATAAGGTATAAACTCCATAGTCCCATGTCCAGAAACTCAGCATGATTGATGTCACTATAAGAGATGGATGCCTTATCGTTTACATGGACATTTCTAAATACAAGAGCGCCTCTCACAAACCTCGTATAGTTCATAAAAATTTATTTTGATCTTAAGGAAGTCAAACATGGGCAAACCAATATAAAGTGGTACTCATTATCTTCAATTATTCCTTCATACACAATTTACGGAGTCGATTACAACGAGCAAAACCAGGTCGTCTTCCAACATGTATCATAAGTGTCGGTTCACCAATTCTTAATTAACATAAAAGTCGCCTGTATTCACGAACCGTGAATGTGTATAAATATTACACAACTGCTAGAAGTGATTTATATTCTTGATAAGACATAGTTTACCTGTTTCACAACTTTTGAATATCACTTTTGTTGATTATAATCTCTTGTACAAAGTCATTTAAAAAGTAAAATATTTTCCCCTACTTTTGGTTTGATGCATCCAAGGTCATAACCTTAAGAGAACAATAATCTTTTTACATTTAAAACCCCCGTTACACGATTGCACTGATCTGAAGATAACATTGCTTCAGGTATATAGATGTTCTGATATCGTTCAATAACTATCAGAGCTAGTGGTAGAGCGTCCGCCCGGAGAGCGGAAGGTCCGGGGTTCGATCCCCGGCCGCGTCACACCAAAAGACGTTAAAAGATCGTACTTGTTGTTATCCTGTCCGGCGCTCGGCAATAAGGGGCTGGAACAAGGACTGGTCGTCTCGGAATCAGTATACTGTGTCTGAGTGGGGTATTCATGTTAAACTGCGGCATGGTATCTCAGTGAGCTAGCACTATAAATCGGCATCAGCTCCTAGTACAAGCAGCCACACAAACACATACACGTACATGCACGTCGCTATATAAGTGCAATAACCTTGGACGCGACGTTAAACCAAATTTCACCTCACCTTCAATAACCATCAAACAGCCAATTCCATTTTACTCATTTACTTCACTGATTTACCCTGCTGAACTAGAAAAAGGAGACTAGTGAGAACCCCTCAACTGTTTCATATTAAGATCCATGCATAAAGATTCAGAGTGACAAAACACTCTCCACAGGACTGTATGACAAGAGGGAGGACTTCAACTTTCCAATTCACTTTCCCTTCATTTCGAGCGATATTCTAGCAGCTCCTGCCTTTGGTGTTTATATTTCACAACCTTTCTACCATGATTTCAAAGGGCTTCTCATAACTGCCAATAAATTGTTTGATCAAGGTTACAAGTCCTCAGTAAAGCTCTCAAAACGTTTTATGGTAGACATGAGGTGGACATTTAGAACTTTGACGCAAAAGTGACAAGAATGATGTCCGATGCAATTCCCTGTTGTGACTTGTACCATACGTGCCCGTGTGTTTTCAGGAGAACAATTAACTTGCTGTCATTTTTATTAGGATATTTGTAATTAGACATTGATAACAATTTCACAGATATTTAATACATCTCTGGTGATAGCATTTGTATACTGTCATGAATTAAAACATTAAGTCGGGCTTTTCTTGTATAGAATGTAAATTGATCATTAGTGAACATGAACCATTCTCGACTTACACCAACTGATATTTGCCACAGCAAAAAAGTTTGATATTTAGACGGTTATTTATTGACATTGTCAAATGGAGTCTAAAATAGAATCTCTTGGGTTAAATGTGAACATTTGTACTTCACAAGTTGCTGATAAGGAAAGAGGCCAAGCAAAATGGTGAAAGATATCTCAGCAACAAGAGATATTAAAAATATACAGCGTACATCTCCCGTGGTAGCAAGTAACTACTTCTAAGTCTAACTAAAACAACATAAACTTGCGATGACTGTGTCCTCTTTGTGATGTTGATTTAAAACTTGTGACTTCACTCCAAGGGTTAGAGTACAGACAGTTTACCAACACATCCAAATACAATCCTAAACACTGCTCACAATAGTAAACAACCTAATCTTCTTCAAGTGGTTAGAATTGAGCGCAGTACAAGCGAACAGGAGTTGGGCCTCTACATGAATACATGAACGTCCACTTATCTTCGGGGGTGGTAGGGTAGCCGAGTAATTAAAGCGTTCACTCGTCACGCCGAAGACCTGGGTTCGATTCCCCACAGTGGTACAATGTGTGAAGCCCATTTCTGGTGTCCTCCCGCCGTGATATTGATGGAATATTGCTAAAAGCGTCATATAAACAAGAGCAAAAGTGAGCGTGGCTCACTAATAGCCCCGACCCGCCTAGTGTGTCAGTAGTTTCAAATTAAATAGCTAGGATAGGGTTAGGGTTTGAAAAAATCATTAAAAAATGGAAAATAAATATTTAAAAAAATATTTTGACTGCACCCCTCCATATGACACAGATACAGATTATATGTACTAAGTTTGAGATGAATCCACTGAATAGTTTAAGAGAAATCGCGCGGACAAAGATTTCGGATGGACGGAACCTTGGTATACCTAAAAGGTCGGGGGTATAAAAATCACTCACCACTCAATGTCTTCGTAAAAGCTGTACTTGTAAATTTCACTACATGCATTTTAATACAGTTCCTACTACGATGGTTTCTTCTACATGTATCATTTACATGGGGAAAACGACACAATATTGTGTTGTGTTTCATTCATAATGGATATTATGTTATCTTACATTAAAATATAAGCTGATTGGTTAAGGAGTGGGCAACTATATTCCATGTAGCCCGCTCAGAGACGGTGTACAAATTTCATGTAGCCCACTGAGAAATCAATCGGATCACATCATGGGTAGCCTAGTCTCTGGGAACAACTGCAAACTTTTCTTGTAGGGCACCTAGACTTGGATGACAGCTGGGACAGAACTGATTTATTTACTCTTTGTCAGTTTGTGCATTCTACCAATTACAACATCACGCTCTGACCAAACCCTATTTAAAAGACATTTAACAGGTTCCTCTTCTCTATTGCCTCATTTTGGGATTTTCTTTGACAACATCCATAATGATTTTTAAGTTGTGATCCCAATTGGTAGGAGGCAGGTCCATATCTGAGTGAGTGAGTGAGTATGGTTTTACGCCGCTTTTAGCAATATTCCAGCAATATCACGGCGGGGGACACCAGAAATGGGCTTCACACATTGTCTCGGCCGAAACAGTTTCTATTTTATTCGTCTAACATTTGTACCAAGCCAGTGATAAGTCAAAAGGTAGACTAGCGGTGAAATAGACTTGGTTGATGTCAATAGGCGAGAAAACACTTTCCATATTTAAGCATCTTCCCGAGGCAAGAGAGTTAACTGACTAGGCTGTTATTCCTGGGCTCAATCGTAGCGCCACCAGTGGTTATTACAAGTTATGTCCCTAATTAGCCTCTCCTGTGGACCAATTAGATTCCATCACTTGCATTTGTTTCAAACAAAATGGCGCTCCCAGTCAAGACGATCTGATCGATAATCAAGGTCTATATTGTGACAAAACGGGACTTACATCGCGAAGTGCAAACAAGTCACGTGAGCACCTTGATTAAAAGCATGAAAAGGTTTGTAAAATGTCTGTTGACAACGAGTTGGCGGTGCACATGCTTTGCAAATCCTGCAATCTGCACGACAGTTTACGAACCGGATTTCGATTCCCTTGCGCGATTTTAATTGGACCATGCATAGACTCGTTACACTGCAAACACGAAAACGTTGTTTTTTCCGTATAAGGTCATTGGACAGAAAAACGAAGTTATTTGGAGGCTTTCAAACCATCGTTTTTCCGTCCAAATAACGTCGTTATTTGATATCGGAATTTACTGGGAGAGAACGACATCATCAAGCTCTTCCCTTTTTGACTGACATTGTCAATCAAGCAACAGCGTCTGTCGGTATTTCTACTTCTCAGATTTCATTGGTCAGTTCTCTCGTGTTAGAATCCAGGCCCGAGTTTGACGCTGTACTCGAAGCGCTTAGCGGAAGTACTGAAATCAATCTTTCTGCCCATGCGGATTGTTGAATGCCTTGTTCAAATTTTCCGTTCTGTGCATGCGCGATTTCGCGTATTGTTCCCTAGATTTAATGTCACCACTATTTGACAATGATTCATAAACACAGTCTGGTGATAAGTTCGGAATCGTACAATGTCGCTTAAATTTATGGCACGTAATGTATCAGCGCGCTTTTCCCATTAACTTATACAATGATAACGGTGATAATTTTAGTCAAAATAATTAGGAAAGTGCAAGGCTCAGGAAAGTCTGAGTAAAGGAAAAGGATTTACACTTTCGCAAGTTATATAATCGTCAAATACGCAAACGAATATCAACCGGCTTTTAAAACTTATTTTTGTAGAAGGTGAACTTGATGCATATTGCCAGATATTATATGCATATATATATATTTCCGATATTGCTTATTTTAATGTTTATTAATAGTTTTAAGGTTCGTTCGCCTAACTGACGGGATTCCACTTTCTCATTTGTTCATGATACTTAAGGAGTGTACTGTTGCTGTAAACAGATTAGTTTCAAATTCCAAACTTGTGATGTCTATTGAGACTAATGCTTAGTCTCTAAAACTGAATAGTTTTGAAAGAAACAAGTAGCTCCATTGAAATTGAAGAGGAGCATTCTCTATCTTAAGAAGATCATAGTTACATGCAACATGCATATCCAACTGAAACTACCATCCCGCTCAAGGTCCAACAGGCCCATATTCACACAGACAGACACGGACACACACACACACGCACGCACGCACGCACGCACGCACGCACGCACGCACACATACATTTTGAGTTACCAATCCCTGAATTGAGTAGATTTGCGTTACGAAACTCCTCCAAGTCGTCATCAATATCGGTAAATGACTGTGATATTATTACCCATCCAAATACGCCGAATATTGTGCTTTCTTGACAACAGATGTTATAATTGAGA